TTGTGAGAGAGGCTGTATTTGATCTTCCTGGGTCTGGGATCTCCTGTCTGTCTTCGCCATCCCCTCTCTTTCCTCCTTTCGCTTTTGTACCGTCTCTCTCAGTTTCTGCCTTTCTTCTTGTGTTCTGTCGCGGTCGAGATACACGTTCCTGTATTCCGGCATGTCCCTTAATCGTGCTTTCTCCTGCAGGATCCTGTTCCGAGTCGATTCTGCCTTGAAGGTCACTTTCACTGGCAGGGTTCTTTTTTTTTACAAACCCCCCTATTCTCCGAAAATTTTCCAGCAGGGTCATGTCGTCTTCTCCTATTGCTTTTATGATGCTTTCAATTGCTTTTTTTCCCTTGTTTTCTTGCTTCATATGTTTTCCCTTCAACTTCCTGGAGCCCATACACAAAGACTGACCTCACCCTTCCATTCTCCCACTGCATATCCTTGTGTGTCCCCTCATTCAATTTGATTTCCTCCATTGCGGCTTTCCTTTCTTCAGTTTCACTAGCTAATGTACTTGGGCTCAGTGGCCTGTCATTTTCCCTTCTCGGCTTTCCCTGGGCTCTGCTGTGGTCTGTTAGAGCCTCCACATATAGCTTAGCTCTTTCATTTACTACAGTCTCCTCTGATAGAGCTTCTACATGCAGTTTTGCTCCTTCTTTCCCTACATTCCCCTTATTTGTGACTGAGGTAGCAGTCTCTGATGTCAATCCCAAAATGTTCTTTAGTTCTTTAGGCTGTTTCAGATTTTTCAGTTCCTCTTCTAAACTCTGTATCCTAGCCTCTGCTGCTTTGACTTGCACCTCCCACTTCCTGCTTTCCATATCTATCCTCTCTTCCATTCTCATGCTAAGTTCTTCTAGTTTCTTTTCCCATTCATGTTCCCTTTTTATGAGCTCTGCTGCCCAATCTTCCTTTGCAGCTTCCTCCTCCTGTCCCTTGGTTTTTCTTCCTGCTCTCTGGCAACCCATTTTTGTTTTATCCTGATTGCCTCAGAGTGGGAAACCTATGTAATTCTGTGTGTTAGGTTAGTAGTGTGTATGTCAGAGTGTGGGGGGGGGGGAAGGTAGAGGAGGAACTGTGGCTATGTGGGGGAGGAGTGGGGAGGGGGATTTAGGGGGGAATATGGGGAGTGGGAAGGAGGGAGAAGCAAGTGGGTGAATGGGAGAGGGAGAGGGGGAAGGAGGGGAGAGGTGGGGAGCGGGAGGGTGAAAGAGGGAGGGGTGGGATCAGGGGAAGGAGTGAGATGTCGGTGGGGGAGGGGGGGCAGTGTATGAGTCTGGATATGTGTGTGTGTGTGTGTGTTGTGTGTGTGTGTAATTATGTGTGGAATTATGTGTGGGTTTATTATGTGTCTGAAAAGTAGGTGCTTGTGCGTTGGAGTGTAATGTGGAGTCTCAGCGGTGTGACTTTGTCAATGGTCCAAGTCGGACCGAAACGTCGTCGTAAGCTTCTCTCTTTTATGTGCGGGTTATTTGTGTATACTTACAAGAACATAAGAACATAAGAAAGAAGAAACACTGCAACAGGCCTACTGACCCATGCGGAGCAGGTCCATGTCCCCCCCCGGATTAGACCAATGACCTACCCCCCGGATTATCCCAATGACCCACCCAGTCTGGTCATCCCCACTCAAGGATGGAGCACTCTACCAGACTCAGCAGCAAAAGCTAGTCAGGTCCAACTCACACCCACCCACACCCACTCATGTATTTATCTAACCTATTTTTAAAACTACACAACGTTTTAGCCTCAATAACTGTACTCGGGAGCTTGTTCCACTCATCCACAACTCTATTACCAAACCAGTGCTTTCCTATATCCTTCCTGAATCTGAATTTTTCCAACTTGAAACCATTGCTGCGAGTCCTGTCTTGGCTGGAAATTTTCAGCACACTATTTACATCCCCTTTATTTATTCCTGCTTTCCATTTATACACCTCGATCATATCTCCCCTAATTCTACGCCTTTCGAGAGAGTGCAGATTCAGGGCCCTCAATCTATCCTCATAGGGAAGATTTCTGATACATGGAATCATCTTTGTCATCCTCCTTTGTACGTTTTCCAGAGCATTTATATCCATTCTGTAATACGGTGACCAAAACTGAGCAGCATAGTCTAAATGAGGCCTAACCAAGGATATATAGAGTTGAAGAACAACCTGAGGACTTCTATTATTTATACTTCTAGATATGAAGCCAAGAATTCTGTCAGCTTTATTGCGAACACAATGTTGCCCTTAAATGCTTGTCCTGCCACCTAGCTTATAGTAAGTTACTCGCCTTGTTCAATGGATTACCAATTGCTATTCCTTATTGAATACTTGAGTGCCTATTCTTTATCGTGCTATGAGAGACCATTCACAATCAGCTTAGCGGTTAATTGGAACCTGAAACCCCACACCCACACAACCACTCATAGGTGAATACAGTACTTGCAATGCAGCTGTAGCAGCCTGTAGATTGTCCAGCTCGATGTGACGTCCTGGCATAGATCCACCTCAATTTCTTCTCGTTAATAATGTACCCTATTCACTGTATTTCTCTCACTGGTCACACGATTGTGTCACTTTATTATCTTTCTTGGGTGACACTTGACAACGTTGCCTTACCACCCACACTAGCCTGCCCGCTCTGACTGCGCCACCACGTTTTACTTTGTGTGTGTGTGTGTGTGTGTGTGTGTGTGTGTGTGTGTGTGTGTGTGTGTGTGTGTGTGTGTGTGTGTGTGTGTGTGTGTACTCACCTATTTGTACTCACCTAGTTGTGGTTGCAGGGGTCGAGTCACAGCTCCTGGCCCCGCCTCTTCGCTGATTGCTACTAGGTCCTCTCTCTCCCTGCCCCATGAGCTCTATCATACCTCGCCTTAAAACTATGTATGGTTCCTGCCTCCACCACATCACTTTCTAGGCTATTCCATGGCCTGACTACTCTATGACTGAAGAAATACTTCCTAACATCCCTTTGATTCATCTGAGTCTTCAACTTCCAATTGTGACCTCTTGTGTCTGTGTCCCATCTCTGGAACATCCCGTCTTTGTCCACCTCGTCTATTCCGCGCAGTATTTTATATGTCGTTATCATGTCTCCCCTGACCCTCCTGGCCTCCAGTGTCGTCAGGCCGATTTCCCTCAACCTTTCTTCATAGGACAATCCCCGTAGCTCTGGGACTAGTCTTGTTGCAAACCTTTGCACTTTCTCTAATTTCTTGACGTGCTTGACTAGGTGTGGATTCCAAACTGGTGCTGCATACTCCAGTATGGGCCTGACGTAGATGGTGTACAGAGTCTTAAACGAATCCTTACTGAGGTATCGGAACGCTATCCGTAGGTTTGCCAGGCGCCCGTATGGTGCAGCAGTTATCTGATTGATGTGCGCCTCGGGAGATATGCTCGGTGTTATACTCACCCCCAGATCTTTTTCCTTGAGTGAGGTTTGCAGTCTTTGGCCATCTAAACTATATTGTGTCTGCGGTCTTCTTTGCCCTTCCCCAATCTTCATGACTTTGCATTTGGCAGGGTTAAATTCAAGGAGCCAGTTGCTGGACCAGGCTTGTAGCCTGTCCAGATCTCTTTGTAGTCCTGCCTGATCCTCGTCCGATTCGATTCTTCTCATTAACTTCACATCGTCTGCAGACAAGGACACTTCTGAGTCTATCCCTTCCGTTATGTCGTTCACGTATATCAAGAACAGCACAGATCCTAGGACTGACCCCTGTGGAACCCCGCTTGTCACAGGCGCCCACTCTGACACCTCGTCGCGTACCATGACTCGTTGTTGCCTCCCTGTCAGATATTCTCTGATCCATTGCAGTGCCTTTCCTGTTATGTGTGCCTGGTCCTCTAGCTTTTGCAGTAACCTCTTGTGAGGAACTGTGTCGAAAGCCTTCTTGCAGTCCAAAAATACGCAGTCGATCCATCCCTCTCTCTCTTGTCTTACTTCTGTCACCTTGTCATAAAACTCTAGTAGGTTTGTGACACAGGATTTTCCTTCCCTGAAACCGTGCTGGTTGTGTGTGTGTGTGTGTGTGTGGTAAGATTAATACTATATGATTATAATTATTTTTATGAAAAACTTACACACCATTTTGGTTATAATTTGTACCCGTGGTTCGAGTGCAAATAAAAATGCTATGTTACTTGGTGAAATTTTTTTTTTTGTTTTTTTTCAAAATATTTATAGAGCTCTATTTTTCGTGTTTTTTTTATAACGTGCGTGACGTCATTAGCAATATGGATTTTTGATAACTCCAAACCCGTCTTTAAAATAAAACAAAAATATATATTAGAAAGCTGAATGTGGAATTAAATGGAAGTTTATCGACTTTAGAATTCAAAGAATCAGGAGGGTAAGTAATATGAAATCACTTTCGAAATTGGACAGGTACCCATCCATGGGCAAGTCAGGTTACCCAGGTAGGGGTTAGTTAGTCCTGGCAAAGGTCAGGTCAGGTCAGGTCACCCCGACAAACATCAAATCACACCAGTAAGTGTGATGTGGTGTGTCTTAGCTTGACTTTGTGGTGTTACCTGGCCTGACCATCTTGTGTGATCTGGCCTGACCATCAAGTGTGAACTGGCTTGACCATCAAGCGTGACCTGTCCTGACCATCTGGTTTGATCTGGCCTGACCATCTGATGTGACCTGGCCTGACCATCTTGTGTGATCTGGCCTGACCATCAAGTGTGAACTGGCTTGACCATCAAGCGTGACCTGTCCTGACCATCTGGTTTGATCTGGCCTGACCATCTGATGTGACCTGGCCTGACCATCTTGTGTGATCTGGCCTGACCATCAAGTGTGAACTGGCTTGACCATCAAGCGTGACCTGTCCTGACCATCTGGTTTGATCTGGCCTGACCATCTAATGTGACCTGGCCTGACCATCTTGTGTGATCTGGCCTGACCATCTGGTGTGACGTGGCCTGACCATCAAGCGTGACCTTGCCTGATCATCTGGTTTGACCTGGCCTGACCATCTATTGTGATCTGGCCTGACTATCTGGCGTTACCTGGCCTGACCATCTGGCGTGACCTGGCCTGACCATCTGGCGTGATCTGGCCTGACCATCTGGCGTGACCTGGCCTGACCATCTGGCGTGACCTGGCCTGACCATTTGGCGTGATCTGGCCTGACCATCTGGCGTGATCTGGCCTGACCATTTGGCGTGACCTGGCCTGACCATTTGGCGTGACCTGGCCTGACCATCTGATGTGACCTGGCCTGACTATCTTGTGTGACTTTTCTTTACCATCTGGTGTGACTAACTCCAAGTATATCTTCTTCACACTCTACATTATCTCTCTCTCTCTCTCTCTCTCTCTCTCTCTCTCTCTCTCTCTCTCTCTCTCTCTCTCTCTCTCTTTCTCCCACATTTTCTTTATTACACCCAGTATCTCACGTTAAAAACATATGTTTTTGCTCAAATTACTCTGAAATTTTCCCGTCATTAGCAAGAACATCTTTTGTTTTACTTAAAAACAAGAACACTGAATAACACCGTGTTGTTTATGCAAGGTAAGACAACACCGTGTTATTCAAGCAAGACACGACAACACCATGTTATAAAGGACACGACAACACCGGATTATGGAAAGCAATACAACACCGTATGGTGCAAAACAGGACAACACAGTATTATACCAGGCACGACAACACTGTGTTATCCAGGCAAGGCACGACAACACTATGTTATCCAGGCAAGGCACGACAACACTGTGTTATCCAGGCAAGGCACGACAACACTGTGTTATCCAGGCAAAGGATGACAACACAATGTTATTCAAACATGGCACGACAGCCCTGTGTTATGAACGCAAGGCACGACAACACAGTGTTGTTCAAGCAAGGCACGACAGCACAGTGTTATCCAAGCAAGGCATAATAACACAGTGTTATTCAAGCAAGGCACGACAGCACAGTGTTATCCAAGCAAGGCATAATAACACAGTGTTATTCAAGCAAGGCACGACAGCACAGTGTTATCCAAGCAAGCCAAGACAGTACAGTGTTATTTAAACAAGGCAAGACACTGTAATCCAAGCAAGGCACGACAATATGTGCATGTTTTGTGCGATGGTTATGTAAGGTGCAAGGTTTGTTGACATGTTATAACAATTATCAAAGTTAATGACTGCATTTATTAATGTTACTTATCATTACGAGAACTCTGCGATGTTTAAAATAAATTAAATTGTTTAAACTTTCTACATTACCTATAAAATTTCCTGTCGATGTCGACTTAATAATAAAAGGCAAAAGTGATATTAAACGAGTAATAAAAGTGTTTTACATTCTTATTTATACTAATAGTATTTTTTAAACAGTTACTAACACGTTTAAATGGATCCAGTTACGTTTGTTCAGACAGATCGTTTAAGAGATAATTCGCAGTGTGAATTATTTATTATCAGTTTTTCCCTCACTGGAGGTTCCTTGATGTTAGTGAGGGGCTCTTGATTTAGGGAATTGAAGCTGTGCTCCAGTTCCCCGAATTAAGCCTGAATGCCTTCCGCATCCCCCCTCCAGGCGCTGTATAATCCTACGGGTTTAGCGCTTCCCCTTGATAATATAATAATAATAATAATAATAATAATAATAATAATAATCAGTATTGTGATTATTGTTCCTCGAAGATCATCACTAATGCGACCTTGATTTATTAACCTGTGTGAACCGTGTTGTTTACACACACACACGCACATATGTGTGTGGTGTGTGTGTGTGTGTGTGTGTGTGTGTGTGGTGTGTGTGTGTGTGTATGTGTGTGTGTATGTGTGTGTGTGTGTGTGTGTGTGTGTGTGTGTGTATGTGTGTGTATGTGTGTGTGTGTGTATGTGTGTGTGTGTGTGTGTGTGTGTGTGTGTGTGTGTGTATGTGTGTGTGTGTGTATGTGTGTGTGTATGTGTGTGTGTGTGTGTGTGTGTGTGTGTGTGTATGTGTGTGTATGTGTGTGTGTGTGTGTGTGTGTGTGTGTGTGTGTGTGTGTGTATGTGTGTGTATGTGTGTGTGTGTGTGTGTGTGTGTGTGTGTGTGTGTGTATGTGTGTGTGTGTGTGTGTGTGTGTGTGTGTGTGTGTGTGTCGTTGTTTTGAGCTGGAATGTATTTTTTCTTCGCCAACTTGTAAGTATGAGACGATCTATATTTGCTGCTGATTCTGTGACTGCTAATTCTTGTATCTTTCTTTTAGATATAATTGAGGAATAGATATGATGCCTGAGAAGCAATAACAATAATAATAATAATAATAATAATAATAATAATAATAATAAATAAAGAATGGAATCATATCATATTATATTTATTAATATTCTGCTTTGAAGGTCATATATAATACAGAGGAAAAATTGGTGGGCTGACTCATCTAATTTAAATTCAAGGAAAAAAATCTAAAAATAACACTAGCAGTTTTGTCAAGGCACAGTGCCCAGTACATAGTGCCAGTGCCCGGTACCTAGTGCCCAGTGCCCAGAAGCTAGTGCCCTGTACCCAGTACCTAGTGCCCAGTACCTAGTGCCCAGTACCAAGTGCCCAGTACCAAGTGCCCAGTACCAAGTGCCCAGTACCAAGTAGCGCAGTGCCTAGTATCTAGTGCTTAGTGCCCAATACCTAGTGCCCGGTGCCCAGTACTTAGTGCCCGGTGCCCATTACCTAGTGCCCAGTGGTCAGTGCCCTTGTGAGAAAGATCAGACCTGTTTTGCAGTTTAATATGATAGTCTTCCTGACGTGCTGACCAGAGGAAAGTACGTTGTATCCAGGAAGGAGAGTACAACGGACAAGTGAAGTAGCAACAACACACACAGCAAGAGGCATTCTTGAGGTTTCCAGTGCTCGGGCTTAATGCCCAAAGCTGGGGTGTGGCTCTAAAAGAATCCTGTAGTGCTTGCTGCCTTTGCACCTCCTGATATCGTCTGCTGCTGATATGCAGCTGCCACACCCTTGGAGCCCAGTGTGTGCGGGGTTTGTGGCAGCCCAAGGTGCCTAGCTTCTCCCTCCGAGCCCCGTGGGGGCGGGGAATGGGGTTAGGCCTGGGGACAGCTGGTCCCAGAAGATGAGGTACTTGTACCTCCTGCCATGGCAAACATTGGTCTGAGACATTGGAAAAGACCCGGGCTGGGTGAGTATACCGGCGAATCTGCTACCTACCTACGTTATATCCCTGAGAGAATACTGCACTACTGGTGTTAAACCTCACATGTATATTATATCTCAGGGAAGCACACACACATTCAATAGTACATGTCAGAAGAGAGGTGCCACTGATCTTAAGGAAGTAGGGAAGCTCAAATGCTATGTCTTGAACCGACGGTACTACTTCGTTGTTATAAGATTCGAACCCTTGAACACCATTGGAAGAATGCAATATTTTTATCTCAAAGAAATAGATTCTGAGCTCATTGAAACAGTGATGCAGGGATGGCCACCTTAATGCTCCAGCGCCTCAGTGGAGTAACTGACAACGGGAACGAAGGGTGAAACGATAGGAACGTCTCCTTACCCCTGCAGTACCTGTTCACTTAGCAGTAAGTAGGTACCTGGGGGAACAAGATTAACCTAAGTTGCTCTGCATAATCAGGAACTTTCTATATAGTGTGGCAGTGATGTCAGCTAGCTAAGCCCGCCTTAGTTATACCATGTATAAAGAATATTATTATTATTATTATTATTATTATTATTATTATTAATTATTTAATGTTAGGAAGAGTTTACATTTATCACAATCCATATTGTGACAGACGCACAGAATTGAAAACTGATCTGCTTTTAAAGGTTAAAAAATATACAGTTATATAGACGTTAAAAAATGAATTTTTTTTCTCCGCAAACATGGCATTGATATTTACTCAGAGAAAGCAATCAACACGCAATGTGTATAATAAACTATGAAATAAATAATAATCAAAACACAGGATTAACCTTGGTCTGTCAGCGTACCGTCTCTTCCTCCTTCCCTTTCTTTCCTCCCTCTCCCTTCACACACACGCGACAAGAGTCAGTGACCTGAGAGCCTGTTGTCTGCTGTTGTCAGCCACAGGACTCTCTCCCTCATATACACACAATGAATATCGCAGATTTTTGCTCCTGTCATTCACCCACAAACTGAAACTCTCTCGTAAACAATTCAAAATCTACATTGGATAGACATTGTTGACATAAGTGTGTGAGTGGAAAAGCCTGTCGAAGGTTCTGAAGCTTTATTTATGTTTAGTATTCACTAAAATCTCATTTGGTACGTAAAAATAGTGCTGGAGATCAAAGTGACAGCCTGAAACCCTATAGTTTTCCAAGCTTAGGATTAAAAGTATGTAACTGTACTTTTGCTTACCGAAAAAAACTAGGTACCGAGATTATATATTCTGTTTAAAACGTAGAAGAGGAAAGTATTAAGAAAACGTGGTGGAAGCTATTAACAAGTGTAGTAGAAAACTATTACGAGCACGTGAAGAAAACTATCAAGAACAGGTGAAGAAAACTATCAAGAACAGGTGAAGAAAACTATCAAGAACAGGTGAAGAAAGCTATCAAGAACAGGTGAAGAAAGCTATGAAGAACAGGTGAAGAAAGCTATCAAGAACAAGTGAAGAAAGCTATGAAGAACAGGTGAAGAAAGCTATCAAGAACAGGTGAAGAAAGCTATGAAGAACAGGTGAAGAAAGCTATCAAGAACAAGTGAAGAAAGTTATGAAGAACAGGTGAAGAAAGCTATCAAGAACAAGTGAAGAAAGCTATCAAGAACAGGTGAAGAAAGCTATCGAGAACAGGTGAAGAAAACTATCAAGAACAAGTGAAGGAGACTGTGCGATAGCAGCTTCACTAACAACATATTTTTTGCTCATAACTTTTCATTTGTTTAAAAAAATAGTATAATTATGGGGAGGTTCAATCACATTATCCCGCAATATGTGTACAAGACTGCAGTAGCAACGCCCCACGAATCCCAAACTCACCTGGAACGCGAGAATAATACTGACAGATACATCATCTTCCTCTGTAACACTGAGACTACATAATACTTTTAGAATAACAGTGACAGATACATAATTTTCCTTAAGGGTAACGTGCTTATCACTGTTACAAAATTATTAAAGCATGTAAACAAAGACTCAGTCATCATTTCATCCACGATACAGGATCTCACAAGGTACAAAAATACCTCTCACAC